TGGTTTATCTTGCTGCAGTTGTTGAGTGTATGTATGGCTCCTTATTGGTCACTGTATATTCTTGGTGTCCTTTGAGGGATACTCGCAGCATCAACCCTACTTCCATATGAGGGGTTCAGGGCTTAGAGTTTGCTGATTAAAGCCTGGCCCTAAACCTTAAACCCCAAACCCTAAACCCTAAACCCTAAACCCTAAACCTACAAAGACCTACAAACCCCGCATTGCCGTGGCTAGTCGGGTGCCAAAAACCTATTAAAAGGGTTTACAGCAAGGCCGAGACCTCCTTGTGGAAGAACCATTAGCCCTAAACATGTTAAGTTTTTGAGCTTAAGACCCTTACTGTAGACCCTCGTTGTAGGCCCAGGGACTAGGGATGAGGGTTGAGGGTTTAGGGTTCAGGGTTGAGGGTTTTGGGTTATTGCCTTCAGTCCGTGCTTAAACAGAAGGGTTAAGGCTTAGGGTTACACATCTTGGTAACCCTTCGCGCCTTTTTGGGGTTCAGGTTTCTTACTGAAAGTTCCCCAACCTCAACAGGATACCCTGACTATGACATGGTTTAAATTGTGCAGCAGCTTTGAGCGTGCACAGAGGTTAGAGCCCGTCCATGATCCGAAGTTCCGCTAGACAAGAAGTGGCAAAAAGCTTCAAAGCCTCTGGCATTTGTGGGACCATCTATAGGGTTCTTAAGGGACGGGGGAACCTAGGTACCTACCCCCCCATGAACCCCCCTCTCTTAGGAACCCTATAAACCATGCATGGTGCGGGCTTCGGTGAGTTATTCAAAGGGTCTGAGGGTCGACATGTACTCTAAGGGTTTTGGGTTTAGGGGTTTAGGGGTTTAGGGGTTTAGGGGTTTCGGGGTTTCGGGGTTTCGGGGTTTAGGGGTTTAGGGGTTTAGGGGAGTTTAAGTTTAGGCGGCTCGTAAGATTGCGGGCATGTGAGCAGCCGGTCCGTTCTTGCAGCCTGACTTTTCCAGCCCCAGTCTTATGGTCTCACCAAGCAAACAAGGAAGCGGTAATGGGCTGGGAAGAACTGGAGGCGAATAGTACAAACCAGTGGTATAAACAAGCAGACCCAAAAATATCTGTATCGGTACATGCATACGAGTACAAGACAAGGCTAAGTGTGTGTATATTCCGCCGCAGCCAAGCCAAGCAAGCTTCGCGACATTCCCCCCCCACCTTGTCACTTGATCAGCTCGTCACAGCAAGCCAGAGGTCCGCAGGAAAGTACATGTTTCGGGGCCTAATGGCCATCAGGGCCATCTGCTCAAGGCAATGGCGGCCGGCGGCAAGCCTCAGGCAAATTTCTTGGCATTGCACAGAGCGCCCAGGCTTTGTTGAGCATCCTTTCATCGACCATTTGCCTGTGTAATATAGGGGTCGGAAAATCATTCCTAATAGTAGTCTCATGGTCCCTTGCCAATTTTACTATAATAACCCCCGACCCTATTCTAATCATTAAGGCCCCAATATTATGTAAACCTGCGCACGCTCTGGAACCTGGCTGGCCGAGGTTTTGCCTCTTCTAGGGAGTTCCAGCGGGCCAGACTCACCCCAACTTCATCTGTCTCCCTCCCCCTCCCTTCTCCTTACCCTTGCCCTACCTCTCCTTCGCTTTCTTTCTCTCATCTCTCATCTCTCTCTCATCTCCCTCATCTCCCTCATCTCCCTCATCTCTCTCATCTTTCTCATCTTTCTCATCTCTCTCATCTCTCTCATTTCGCTCTTCTCTCGCTCTCTCTCTTTTTCTTTCTTCTCCTTCAGAAGCCTTCCTCAAGCCCTGTGATGCCCAGGAGATGTTTCACCAAGAGCGCGGCGCTCCTGTCTCCTCTATACTCCCGAAAGCTCGGGCGAAGGATAGTGGTGCACCTCCTCCTCCTCCGCCACCGGCAAGCTCGAATTCGAGTCGCGCTCCCGTGATGCCCAACTCCCTGCCCACAAGGCCCGGGAGAGTTTAGGGTTTAGGATTCAGGGTTTAGGGTTGAGGGTCTGTAGCTTAAAGGCTTATAAGTTTCAGGGCCTCGCGAATGTTGAGGGGCATTCGGGAGGTGGGGGGTGTGGTGCGATTCTTATCGTGGTTGTCTATCAGGCTCAGCTGTTCAATTTCTCGGATTTAGATGCAAGAACTGGTCGTTGAGCCTGGGGCAAGCACATGGTTAATGATGTGCGACACTCCGGTTTGGCATAGATTTTGGGACTCAGGTTGAACCAATCTAGGACTAGGCGCGATCGGAAGCTGCATCAAAGCCATCCCGAAACATGCGGCCCAGGCAGGCGGGTGCAACGGAAGCTCCTTTTTCCACCCAGCCGGAACCAGAACGGAGCGGAGATCAGGCCATCTCAGTGTCGAAAGTGCCCTCATTGGTCACCCACGACATTGAGGAACACTCCGCTGACTCCAGCTTTTTTGGAGACGCCGAACAAGAGGCCCACAGCCTGGCAATGGCGCTCCCCAATGTGCCTCAGAATGAAGCACGGATCAAGGCCCCACCACCTGTCTTTCGCCAGACAGCCGAATTCACAAGCAAATCCGCAGAACCCCCCACAGCTTTGCTTCCTCAGGGCCCGGGCAAGGGCGTCCCGGAGGACGGTCTAGGCCCAAAGATACAGCTACCACTGCCAGCTTCACCATCTCAGCCACGCCGCCGGCCTCTCCCCAGCCCAGTATCCCTTCCGTCTCCAGCCGAGTCTGAAGAGGGCCGGCCTATGCAAAGCCAGGACTCCGGGCGGGCAGAGACCCTAAACCCTAAACCCCTCTGGTCTTGCGAAGCTACGAACCCGGAGGCGAGAAAACCCAAACCCTAAACAGACAGTAGGTTTTTGGATGCTTTTTTCCCTTCTTGGCTTTGCAGAGCATTTGTCCCAGCTCTCTCGAGTATGGCGCTTGTGTGACCGTTCCGGCATCAGGGTTTAGAGACCCACAGCAGTAAGGATGCAGATGTTGGTGAAGATGCCTCTGCACAAGTGGCCTTGCGATCGGCCAGAGAGCCGGCCGATGGTGCTCCTGCTTCTCCGGAGGTGTCTGTAGACCAAAGCCAAGCCCCCGAGGGCATGGTCAGCTGTCCGACCATGGCAGGTTTTTTTCTTGCAAGCCCCTAGAAATCCTAATCCCTTTTGCCAGCCCTTAAACCTCAAGCCTTTCAACCCTAAAGCCCTTAAACCCTAAATTGAGCTTCTGTAGGTCATATAAGCTTTAGAGCAGTGGATTACCCTAAACCCTAAACCGTAGAATCCGTAGAAGCTGCGTGATGGCTAAGGCAAGCAGCCCCGAGCCCAGTGGGCCGTCCTCCCCACCGGCGGGGGCCCGCGAGCTGAACGAAAACAGGCCGACGCGACATGAACCTTGTAAGTATAAACAATAAATATAAATATAAATACAAATCTAAATATGTATGTGCATATATGTATATGTATGTAAGCTTATACATACATATGTATAGGAAGGAAAGGCAGGGCAAACCATCGTTCTTATGGGCGAGCTTCCATCCCGGAGTCGGCGCACGGCGCCTCGAACCGGTTTGCAGATTCTCCGCAGCGTCGCTGACATGACAGAAGCCAGGATGTGTGATTATAGGGTTTAGGGTTTAGGGTTTATAAGGGTATAGGGGGGCTTAGAAATCACCTTGTAAACACCATGATCAACCCTATATAAAGGGTCTCCTGAACTCTCGATTCAGTCGCACGCTCCCGTCGCAGTCCCGTGCATGCTTCGGCGCTGGAGTCGATGTCACATAGATCGCGCTCTCCCAGTTCGTGCATCCGCCACAGAGAGGTTTGCGCTTGGCTCCCCCCACAGTCCCTAGTCCTGTGTGCGCCAGGCTCCGCCTGAAGCTCCCTCGAGCGGCGATCCTGCTAGTTGTTTTCATATAATTACGCAAGTTCAGAGAGGAAGTAGAAGACGCTGGGTTTGCTTGTAGCCCAGCGGAGTAGCTGCTGCCCTACATGTTTCGATGCTTTCTTTTGGACCTCAGGATGTGGCCTCAGCAGTCCTGAGGCAAAACATAATCCACATCGAGGGGCATATCTTTGAAGAGATGCTGTATTACTGTATCATGCCTGTCGAGTTGAGCTGTCATGCTGCTGCGAGCCCTGGCCATGCCAGAGCTTGAAGGTCGTCTCCGTCGTCTCCGTCTCTCGCGCCAGCGTCGCCATCATCGCCTTTAGCATCTGCAATGAAGTCACCTGCGGGCTCAGTGGTGCTGAAGAAGTCGCGCTCGCGCCTGAACATTCCCGCAAGCTCCAGTGACGAATCTCCGGAACACCAACACGGAGGCGCAACAGGGAAATGTCTTGCATGTGAGCTGTTGCAAGACGGCTCGCAGCATGTCAGGGTTGTCAGATAGTAGCAGCACGCAAGAAGGTCCACACATGCACAATTGCGCGCACGCCCGAAAGCGCACGCACGCACAGCACATCACAGCATCATACGCACGCGCAGCCGCACGTGCGTACACTCGCGCATGCGCACATGCGCGCGTGCGCGCACAAAGGCACAGCCGCGCACGTGTTTGCAGTCGCACGCCGGCACACACGCTATGTCAGGTGCCCACACACTCTCACTCTCACTTTTGCACGCGCACGCATATAGACAGATAGGCAGACAGGCAGACAGCGACGGGCGCAGGCGCAGACGCAGATGCAGACGCAGATGCACACACACACACACACACACACACACACTTACATACACATACATACATGCATGCATGCATGCATACATACATACGTTATAAACACACACACACACAAACCAAGTGGGAATGGCGCACACACACAGAAACGCGACACGACAATGCAGCGTTGGTAGGATGACCAGCCATGACTTGGAGGCATGTGTACTGGTAGGTGGCGTTGTAGGTAGCCTAAACAAGGTTATGATCCATCGTGGTTATAGATACCCCACGTATGACCGGACCTCTTTCAGTACCCGTGAACTCCAGTGTAGAACTCTATGCCCTGCCGAAGAGGACCAGCTTAGACGATCACTGATATGTGGCCATGATCGGGGACAAAGTTTTTGAGTCATGCTCATGTCTTTTCAGGGCTGCGCACTGTGAGAGCCTTGAAAATGCCTCATAACATGCTTGACTTTGAAAGACGTCCGGCGTATTGCAGGTGAGTCGCCAGTCAGAGTCCGCATCGCGGTGGAGGAACAGGATGGCAAGGCAGCGTTAAACCCTAAACCCTAAACCCTAAACCCTAAACCCTAAACCCTAAACCCTAAACCCTTTTTTTTTTGCATCAGTCGATGCGAGGTTGTATCTTCGTTTCGGAGCCCTAAGGCAACTGAGCCTTGACTCTCTGATTTTTTTGAACACACGCAGGCACAAACGCCCGAGTTGTTCACAGCCTACCCTAGGCTCGATGTGTCAGGTTCGAGCCCCATATTGATCGCTGAGCGCACCATAGCAAAATCCAGCTAAACTCTAAACCCTTAGCCCTATACCCTATACCCTATAAACCCTAAACCGCAAAGCGAATTGTGCGAAGGAGACGGCGGAATCGGACGTGCCGGTGCAAACCCTGCAAGTGGAGGTGAAGGAGGAGAAGGAGGTCAGGATTTGGTATGGTTCAGGGTTTAGGGTTTCGGGTTTAGGGTTTAGGGTTTAGGCTAGGGTTTAGGGTTTAGGCAGGGTATATACCCAGAGACTCCAAGACCCCTTAATAAAGGAATATGCCTTAAATTAGAATAGGAACCCTAATATGATTTAAGGTATCTTCCTTCATTAAGGGGTTTTGAAGTCTCTGGGAGGGTTTCGGGTTTTGTAGCATGATATATATATATATACATATGTGTGTATTTGTGTGTAGCATATTTTTGCATTTGTATCAGTTTGTATACTTGCATGTTTGAGCGGCTTGGCGAGGGCGTTTTTAGAGCACGCTCTTCGCGCTTGGTCGGAAGTTTTGGGTGGCTTCAAGCCTTTCATATCAACCCGTGGTCTATTACCCTAAACCCTACACCCTAAACCCCAAACAAACACCGGGGCTGCACTGAAGAGAAGTTGTGGTGCCCAAGCTGTTTGGTGTGCACTGGGGAGAGGGGTAAAGCAAATCCCGCATTACATAATTCGCAGGCCCTCCAACCAACAGAAGCGGGCAAGCTCTCTAGGCCGCAATTCAGGCCCCTACAGTAGGATATCTCCTTGCTATCCTTCATATTTTGCCTGTGTGGGGTGGGGGATAAGCCTAAGCCCCGAACAACCCTAAACCCTAAATCGCCAAAAAACACCCTGAACCTCTTCTGCCTGGGCCAGGAGGCGAAGCCTGAGCCGGCGGTCCAAAAAGAGAAGCCAGACCCAAGATTCCAGATGCCACCCCTGCGGCTTGGCTTAGGGTTTGGGGTTTAGGGTTTAGGGTTTAGGGTTTAGGGTTTAGGGTTTAGGGTTTAGGGTTAGGGTTTAGGATTTAGGGTCCACCACCCTTGCGACTTACCAGCTACTACTTACTACTTACAACTGACTACGCACTACTTACTCCGATTTGCAGACTGCGAACTGTTGACTACTAGCTACGACCTCGACTGCTGCTGCTGCTGCTGCTGCTGCTGCTGCTGCTGCTGCTGCTGCTGCTGCTGCTGCTACTGCTGCTACCACTGCTACCGCTGCTGCTGCTACTGCTACTACTGCTACTGCTGCTGCTACTGCTACTGCTACTGCTACTACTACTACTACTACTACTACTACTACTACTACTACTACTACTACTACTAATACTACTACTACTACTACTACTACTACTACTACTACTACTACTACTACTACTACTACTACTACTACTACTACTACTACTACTACTACTACTACTATTCATTCATTCCAATCGCAGCCGGTCTCTCGGCTTAGCGTCAGGTACGTGGCAGCGCATTGCACCGGTGCTTCAAGAGCACTAGAACCACATGGGCAAGTCCCGCTACGAATAGCTGCAAACTTGCGGCCTACTCAACTTGTCAAGAGAATGGTGCACCAGTGCACCCTTCACTCGATCAAAAGAGTGCAAAATCAGATAAGTAGAAAGCGAAAACGTAAAACATGAAAACAGGTCGTAGAGCTATCGACATCGCTACAGCCATCTGTTATGGCATCTTGCATTCATCATGGTGTTTCTCTGTACAAAGTGCAGTCCTGAGAACTGCAGTGGCCCCAGGAGGGCACACTGAGGACCACGCACAGCACCCTGTAGTCCTACGAACTGCAAGTGGCCCCAAGAGGGCGCACTGAGGACCACGTTCAGCACCCAGTAGTCCTGTGAACTGCAAGTGGCCCTTGGAGGGCACACTGGGGACCGTGTAGTTCAGTACCCAAGAAGGTCTGGCCGCAGAGCATCGCCAAAACGCAGCTTTCTCGCACTTACTAACTGTGACCCGGAAGGACGTAACGTCAAAACCCAGACCACATCTCGAAGCATACGTGGGGCCGGGGCCCAGTGCGGGCCATCCCATCCGAGGATAGGGTAGGTTGCCGCCGCCGGCATTCGGTCAGCATTCGGGACAAGGCAGCGATGATCTGCAGCTACACACTCCTCGGGTATCTGAATAAAACGAGAGGTACACAGGCACAAGGGCTGCGCTTGGCAATGTCGAATAGCTCTATTGCAAGCTTTCATAAAAGATCTCTTGACACATCGGTTCCACTTGTGAGGAGGTCCCTGCTTCCCATCTGTGACCTGAACTCCGTTTAGCTTCGGCACCTGAAGTCGTCGCTGATAAGGGAGTTGCCTTCCCCAGCTCCAACGGAAAGAGCTGGAACCCTCACACTGTGGGACACCTGACAATGTAGCAATATAAGTAGAGTCGTCAGTCGGCATCCCACCCCGGACTTGGGACCGGGCCGGCTATCTATAAGGAGGTGTGGCACTATGCGCTCAATGGGGCGGCCTGACGGCGCGCGCCCAGGAGGAATGCGGGTGGCAGCCACGTCATGCTTGCGCCAGCTGCAGGAAAAGTTGCACCAACTCCTGATCGCTGGTAGCCACGCGCTTGCAATGGTGCCAGGCTGCCGCGTTGGCAGGCCAGGGCCAAAGGCACACAGTCGACCCACGTGCCCTTTGTTGGGGCCAAGAGGCACCCAGCTGACGAGCGTGCTCTCAATGGGGCGGCCTGACGGCGCGCACCCAGGAGGGACGCAGGCGGCATCGACCTCTTGCTTGCACCAACTGCAGGAAAAGTTGCGCCAACTCCTAGCTGCTGGTAAACACGCACTTGCAACGGGGCTAGCTTCAGACTGACGCGTTGGCAAGCCAGGGGCAAAGGCTTTCAGTCGACCCATGCGCCCTTTGTTGGAGCCAAAAGGCACCCAGCTGGCGAGCGTCAACAGTAGCGCTAGTGCGGCTCACTGCACTATAGGACTGTGATCATCACGTTTCGGAGCCGGACTCCACCGCAAGGTTCGCTCCATGGCATAGATGCTACATCTCCACAACTATAAGTCCCGCTGCTGGGACACAGCTGAGCCGGAGTGCTTACTACTACTACTACTACTACTACTACTACTACTACTACTACTACTACTACTACTACTACTACTACTACTACTACTACTACTACTACTACTACTACTACTACTACTACTACTACTACTACTACTACTACTACTAACTACTACTACTACTACTACTACTACTACTACTACTACTACTACTACTACTACTACTACTACTACTACTACTACTACTACTACTACTACTTACTACTACTACTACTACTACTACTACTACTACTACTACTACTACTACTACTACTACTACTACTACTACTACTACTACTACTACTACTACTACTACTACTACTACTACTACTACGCTACGCCACCTACTACTACTACTACTACGACTACTACTACTACTACTAACTATACTACTACTACTACTACTACTACTACTACTACTACTATACTTACTGCTACTGCTACTGCTCCTGCTACTACTACTACTACTACTACTACTACTACTACTACTACGACGACGACGACGACGACGACGACTACTACTACTACTACTACTACTACTACTACTACTACTACTACTGCTACTGCTGCTGCTGCTGCTGCTACTGCTACTGCTACTGCTACTGCACTACTGCTACTGCTACTACTACTACTACTACTACTACTTCTTCTTCTTCTTCAACTACTACTAGTACTACTACTTCTTCTACTTCTACAACTCCTACTACTACTTCCACTATTATCGCTGCAATTTTCTTGTTATTTCTGTAGCATGATTTTTGCAAGTGCAAGGTGCTGAGGGGTATCAAGGTTGCAAATAGGGTTGGACCACTTGCGAAATATGGCTTTGCAAACCTGGTGTTGTTTTCGCCTTGAGTGTCAGAGGCTTCCCGGTGCTTGCACCCAGGCTGAAACGGATTCGCTTGCCCCGCTTCATCTGTGGTTACATGCTGAAATGCATGGTAGGGCCGATAGAAACAGACTGTTGCATGGTTCACGAGTGCGTCGCCGCCATGTACATGTTGGATGCAACAAAACGCGACTATTCTTTTGCGTGGATGCGTTCTGTGTTTTCATTGGTATGTAAATCTTTGGATGCCGTGGGCAATACATGTGCTGGCAGCATGGACGTATATGGACGTTGCCACCCTGCGGGCATGGTTGCAGTGGGCACCACATGGTTCCAGTAGCAGAAATGGGGCTGCAAACGGACACCTGCGTCCAAACACAATGCAAGCTACTGCCTTCTCGGGATGCGGCTCAGGGTTGCATGGTCATGGTCAGTGCTCTTTAGTCCGGTTGCTCAATGGTTCCCCATGACAAAACATTCCACCTGCAACAGCAGTTCATTGCAGCTTCTTTTGATCTGCATACTTGGGAATGCCGACTGACGATTTTGAATGACATGTTTCTGCACCAAGAGCCCAAAAGATCTCCGGAAGAGAATGTGAACTTCCCTTTGGGAGTGCCTCTCAAAACACTCAGCCCTTTTTGGAACCTTCACTCGGACCCAGACTAGGCCCACATTCCCTTTTTGGGGGCTTAGGTTCCCTTACCAGCCCCTTTAAACCAAAGAGGGCAGCCTCTTGATTCCCAATTAGGTTACCCTTCGGCCCAGTTCAACCTTCAGCAAGGAAATCGATCCTGAAGAAGAGCCCGCTGGAAGATGACGAAAAGGACCCACAGTGGATGACCTAGACTTGGGTGAAATAGGTTGTTTTTTTCCAAGACGAGGTACGCCCCTTTATACCCCCAGATATCGTAGAATCTTTTCTAAACAGGCCAGCCCAATAAGGAAGCCGCTTCTTTTTTTACGGGATCTTTTAGGTTCCCTAGGGTTTAGGCTGTCAGTCGCGTGGCACTCAGCAGATTTGTGCCGTGGAACTCATACACCCGGTCCAGCCCTCAACGTTCAGTGACAGGAGGATGTTCTTCTTAACAGCATAGGATACGGCATCTAAACAGCGTCGCATGGTCGGACGATGTTTATTCGGTTTGAGATTGCTCCGTACGCTAAGCTTCTTTTGCCCGCACACAAGAGCAATCATGTGATGCCAGCTGAAAGACACATACACCACAAGACCCTAGAGCCAAGGACTTGTTTGTTTGCATTCTGGGGGCACTTTCTATCTCAACTTGTAGGCTCCTGTTTTCAGCAAAGCCGAGGACAGGGCCATGCTTGCAAGAAAACTGAAATAAAGGGTTCTGAAGTTTGGGCCCTCGAGGTTTATGGGGTATATAAGGGATATAAGGGGGATATAAGGGGGATATAAGGGGTATATAAGGGGTATATAAGGGGTCTATAAGAGGTATATAAGGGGGATATAAGGGGTATATAAGGCTAAGGGGTCCCCATCTAAGGGCCCGTAGTAAGGGAGCCTAAACTCATATAAACCCTGAGCCCTAAACCCCGAAACCCGAAACCCTAAACCCTAAAACCCACTAAACCCCCTCAGGCTTATAAATCGCCAGGAGGGCAAGCTGGGCTTGAGAGCCGCTGCGATGATCAGCACCTTCGCGAAGCTTGGCCATGACTTACTCCCTAGGGTTTAGGGTTTAGGGTTTAGGGTTACACTCCCAAAGTAGGCACCTTACAAAATCTAGGTATATAAGTCGTAGGTATAGGAATTATAGGCATATAAAAATATAGGTATTGTAGGGCGCTGAGGTTTGCAGGAATTCGGGTTGAAGGCTTACTTCTGGAGATCGGTTTGAATCTTAGCTGGTTATGTCGGCGCTTGGTTTAAAGGGGCTGTGTGCTTGAAGACTTTCCGAAGTTTAGTGAGCTAGGTTTCAGGTCTAAGGCTTGAAAGTTATGGTGCAGGGTTCAAGCTACGTAGTCTGCGTGCGCTTAAACTGTGGTGTACGTATTGTGAGTGAGTTTCTAGCGAACTTCGACCGCCTTTGCGGACTCGTTTGTGGTGCGAAGAGTCTGATGTTGATTTTGCAACCCAACCCAGTAATCTCTGAACCAACACAACACTATGAACCATAACCCTCCTCGAATAAAGGGCATAGACTCGAAGGACTTTGCACTGTGCATGCAAATTATCCGGCATTCAACACGCATTACTCTAGGTAGTGAATTCACTTCCTAGCACTCTAAATTTGAATCCTGATCCCCATGACGCCTAAGCCTAACATTCAATGGGTGTCCCTGTACAAACCTGTTCTGTACGGAATGAATCCCACCATGTATCCTAGTAATGCTACTAGATGCAAGTCGCCCCCCAAATCTATGATTGGTAGGAGTGCCTTTGAAGGTTGGATCCCTGACCCTAAATGAATACCCATCGCTTAGAATAAATGTTCGCTTACGTACAACATCTACCACGATGAACTGCAGCTACCGGGACTAGCGCTTTCGATATGCCTGTGCTTTTTTTCTGATTCTGATACAACTCAATATGGGGAAAGAAGGACAGCTACTGGAACACCCCGGATACTGGGACACCCCCTCAGAGACGTGTGTGCGGCATGGTTTATTGTATTAAGCGGTGTAACCCAAGCATATGAGAAGCTACGCGTGCAAGCTCATCACTGTTCACAGATTGCTGTGAAACGTGATGGCCGTAGGGAAGCATGCGAGATCGAGTTTTGTAATGCTCAACTGCAACATGTGATAGTAAAAGGGGGGCCCCTAACCTCTATTATAATCCTGCGCTACCAAGTTTTTTTTGCACCTGCGCACACTCGTGGGAGTGTGATGAAGAGGTTTGCAATTTGCTTGCACCCTAAACCCTAAACTCTAAACCCTAAAACCCTTGCAGGCGACGGCGTGCCAACGCGGGCCTTATGGACATACCCAAGTTCAACCCGCCCAGCAAGAAGGCCTGGAATCAGGGGTTTAGGGTTAGGGTTTAGGGTTTAGGGTTTAGGGTTCAGGGTTTAGGGTTTAGGGAATCAGGGCGGGGCTCAGGGGGGCCCCAAACATGCCCTTGACTCCTACTTGGAACTGTACTTATAACTGTACTTGTGTCCATATTGGGGCACTTAAGGGGCTTATAAGTGGGCTAGAAGTACTTGTTGTACTTGGTTCATAAGTACCGGTTTTAACTACGCAGGGTGCCCCGCACTGCGGCCAGAAATGTCAGCCGGCACCAAAACCCCCATGAAAGGCTAGAATTGAGCTGATACTGAGCTGCTTTAAGCGTCATTGAAGATTTACGCTTCGAGAGTTCCATTCTGGAGCATCGCAGATGAGGCCGCCGCCTCACGAAGACGATCAGTGGTTTTTTTATTTCCAGGGTTTAGAGGGCTTTGGGGTTAAGGGCGGCTTGCTTTGGGTTTAGGGCAGGAGGGTCACAGGCCCCACAGAATGTCAACGACCTGGGCGACTTCTCCTGAAGCCGGCAGTGTCCCCCCCCCCGGGAGGTGAACATCGTCGACAGCCAGGAAGAGATGCGGGAAAGGCAGGTCTCTCTCCAGGTTTTCAGCTTGGGAGGTTTTAAGGTCTATAGGGTTTAGGGTTTAGGGTTTAGGGTTCAGGGTTTGGGAGGGCTGTATACAGGGCTTGACTGTCTCTCCCCTTCAGGCGTCGATCCCAGAAGGAAGAGGAGTGGAAGGAACGGCAGCAGCACCTGCAATCCAAGAGGAGGCAAGCCAAAGGGGGCTGCTTACACGGTTTGGGACATGAAGTAGGGTTGATATTACTGCTCTTGGTGAAGTAGGGTTGATATTACTGCTCTTGGTGACTGTCTGTAAGGTTCCTTTTTCAAATTGGTGAGTGTATACATCGGGTGTCCTTTTTGGGATACAAGGAATATCAACACTACTTCACATAGGTTTCGAGTTCAAAGGCGGGCTGAGCAAGCGACCATCAGGATGTCGTAGACAGACGCACTTTGCACCGGGAATTGCCTCGTATCCCGATATCGCCAATCCCACAAGGTCCTCCCGCAACCACCCTGACCCCTAAAGCAGAAACCTGAAACCCTCAACCGCCCAAAAGCCTGCCCCCCTCAGCTTGCCGGCGGAAAACCGCCCTACAGAGGCCCCAGAAGCCTGAAACTGTTCGTTAGACGGCTGAAGGGCTTAGCTCTTGTTGGGGTTTAGGGTCACAAAACCCTAAACCCTAAACCCTAAACGTTTTTCTTTTGGGGGGTTGCGAAGACGATGGCTTCTGGGTTTGAGGGTTTATGGCTTTGAGGTTGAGATGTCGCCCCTTTAAACGAACAGTCCTCAACAGGGATTTTCATAGGGGGGTACTATCATCCCTGTTAAGGGCTGTTTGTTTCAGGGGGAACATCCAAACTTTTTTAGGGTCTTCGAAAAGTCCCGCATAGGCTGCAGATGCTCGTCGACATCCTGCTGATGCCGCTGAGATTCGGGCAGTACATCGGGCGATGTTACCTCGCCTCCCCAAGAGCCAGGCAGGGGGGGGGGGGTTGGGGGAGGCGGGGGTGTTGGGGGGGAGGGGGGGGTGCGAGAAGTGCTAGGCTATGGGCTCTTTCTTCGGTCCATTTGGGTTTCGGGTTAAGTTTAGGGTTTGTAGGGTTTAGGGCTGGCGCCTTGAGTTTTGAGTTTGGGCTTCAGGATTCGAGTTGTTGAGAGGGCTCTTTTCTGTGGCTCTCAGACACAACCAATGTGGGGAGCTTGCGCCTGGCACATGGGTTTCTTCAAGGGTTTAGGGTTTAGGGTTTAGGGTTTAGGGTTTAGGGTTTAGGGTTTAGGGTTTCCTTGTGCACCCTGAGAGTGTTTTCCTGGCTTCAGGCAAATGTGGCTGGTTACCACCCTCGCAGTTTGCCTCTTCGAGCTGCTCTGGTCTTGTTAGGGAAGAGCTGCTCCTATTCATTGGGCTATGAGCATGTCAGGCTCGACCCTAAACCCTAAACCCTAAACCCTAAACCCTAAACCCTAAACCCTAAACCAGAAGCAAGGCAGGAGTACATCAGTACATTGCAAGCCGCAAGAAGAGAGTTCCCTCCTTGTGGCGAAGCCGAGGCTTTGGTCCTCTGCCCTGTTCGTCGCTTTCGTCTTGGATCCGAACAAGGCTGGGGAGCAGCCCTCCGACTCCCTTGAATAGCCGCTACCCTGCTTCCCAATCTGTGTTCTAGGAGGTGAAATTCCGAAGCAAGCTGTCCCGATTTCGCTGCTTGAGGCGGATTTCCTGTATACCTTGCTCAGCATGGACCACTACTCGAACCTCCTCTTTATCATCGACGCCTCGCTCCGCGCCCTGGATAAGATGCTTGGTAGCCCAGTGGAACCCGTTTACCCTTTTTTCTGTTCTGGGTTCCCTTAAAAAGCAACCAACCAAGAAAATGGTACCCTGATTGTAATATGGTTGCTGGGCTACTAAGGATGCGCGGAGACATCGTGGACATCGGGCCCGACCTGGACATGGCACCCCGGCGCCACCTCTGCTAGGGCTGATTCGGCTCAGGAGTTGCAAGGCTCCTCCCCTAAAAAAAGCCACACAATCTTCTACACAAAGCCCTGAAAAGGCCCGGTGCTTAACTATAAATATGTAGATTCAAGAAATATCTACCTCCCGCTGTCTTCCGTGGTCGTAGATAGACCGAAGAGCTTCCCAGCAGCTGAGGGGCGGCGCAGGCCGCAAAACGAGCAGATCCTTGTTTGCATCTCAGGCTTGGGTTTGGGGGTTTTGGGGGATGGGTTCAAGGTCTTGGCCTTTCGGGGGCATGGTACCAGCCCCTGTCTGGTCCCTGCTGTTCCCCTATGGGCAAGTACGTGTCTTGCTTGAAACCTACATATACTAAACCCAAGCTTTGTAACCAGTTTCTGGAGAGGTGTTCAACTGCTAGTCTTCGGCTTTTCAGACTTCGGGGTCGAGGACCCTAAACCCTCAACCCTAAACCCCGAAGAAGCCGCCTCGGAACCTCCTTGAAAAATCTTGAGCCTCTTCCCCAGAACGAATGTGGTCTTCCAAGGATCAAGCAGCTGCTTCAGCGCTTGCCCGGGTTCAGCTCTTGCTCATCAGAGTCGCTAAGCTTGTCAGAATTAGATCCTAAACCCTAAACCCTAAACCCTAAAGAGGGAGCCAGTGGAAGTCTTTGGAGTTCCGGGGGCTAAGTCAAGTCCGAGTCCATAGGTGGCAAGGCACCCTTGTTTATGCCAGTTTTTGAAGACTTAGGGAGGGTTTGGGGTTTAGGGTTTAGGGTTTAGGGTTTAGGGTTTAGGGTTTAGGGTTTAGGGTTCGGGTTGTGGAACTTCGTGATCGTGCGCACATAGGCGTGCCTTTCACCGGGACATTCTACCAAGAGCCCCGAGGCATTCGGGAGGAGCTGGGTACTTTCATGCACAACGAAGCCCTTTCAGCCCAGCTTGTGCCCAAAAGCACTTAAAGCTTGAGCATTCAAAGCTGAACCTTAAACCCTACACCGCAGACACTAAGCCCCTAGCGAAGTTACATGGGCACCCGAAACACCCACAGAGTCGAGTGCACTCATGGTGTAGCTTGCGAGCTGCCATGTTCCCCTTTTTCTTGAGGGTGCAGGTTCCCTCATAAGCCCCTTTAAACCTCAAAAAGGGCACCCATTTGTGTTCCTAGGCGACTCTTGGGTATATGGGAGTGTGCGATGGCAAGGGACCCCGAATGTAGACCCCCAAAACAAAGTCGGACTTGTAATCAGGATCCCCCCCCAGTAAGGAGCCCCTCTCGAGTAGAAGCCAAAAAGTTGGAAACTGAATAGCCTCAACCCCTAAGAGTAAAGTATAGGGAATCCCGGCACTATTTGTCCTTAAAACGGTTTCCAACTTTTTGGGGTCTACTGTAACTTCGGAGACCTCCCCCAAACATCTCTGAGGCTCCTTCTTCAGTTCGTCAGGGCAACTTGGCCTTTCCGGGGGTCGAACCCTTGTGAGCTTCAGGAGTTAGGGGCTTGGGATTTAGGATGATTCAGGGCTTCGGTTTTTTGAGTTTTTTTTTTTTTTTTTGGGGGGGGGGGGGGGGGGGGGCGTTTTACGCTTTAGGGTTTAGGGTTTAGGGTGGGTGGTGATAGGGTTTGGGGTTACTAAGGGCTATAGCATGGAAGTCCCAAGCCTTGAGCTCGGCTGCCCAGCGGGTTGGAAAAGACCCAAACTCTCGATGCGTTATTGGCGGGGTTTTTTCCGAAAACAGGGGTAAGGGTTTAGGGTTTCGGGTTTAGGGTTTAGGTTTAGGACCTCTTTGGGGGTCCTGTTTATGAAGGACTCCTACTATTTGGGAGTCTATATAAGGGTCCCCTTATTTCGTAAACCCCCAAAATCTACAACACTCAGCCCTGGTATGGGTAAGGGTAGGCAGTGATGGTGAGACCTGCTGCAAAATGGTTTAGGGTATGCCTAGGCTGATGCTCTGATTCTGGTTCAGAAAAGGGTACGCCTAGATCCCGATATGCACACTCTTCGTCTGTAATTTAGGGTTTAGGGTTTAGGGTTTTAGGGTTTAGGTTGAGGGTTTAGGTTAGGAGCGCCACTTAGCAGACGTGGCGAAAGAGCGTCGCTTCCATCGTTTAAGTGCTCCCAGCAGCGCGCCCAAAGCCGGCGGCCATGAACTTCCGGCACATTCCCGAATGCCCCCGAAATGCAAAGAACCCTAAACCTAAACCCCAAACCCAAACCCTAAACCCTAAACCCTAAACCCTAAACCCTAAACCCTAAACCCTAAACCCTAAACCCTAAACCCTCCGCCGGTTGTCGTTCTTAGGTTGGTACCACCACCACTCTGCAGAAGGGTGCTCTGCTGCGCCTCCGGTGTGTTTAGGGTTTGGGGCTGCAAGGTTAGGAGTCGTTTTGCTTGGCTGCGCGTCGGTTTAGATTGTTTTTGTTTAGGGGGGGTTGGGGTGGGGGGGGGGGAAGGGGAGGGGGGGTGGGGGGGAGGGGGGTGGGGTGGGGGGCAGGTGCAACCCCAAAACCCTAAATTGCTGTAACCCTAACCTAAACGCTTATTGTAAGAGAGGGGGGCCGGGCAGGGGTGGGCTCGTTCGGCTCATCCTGCCAGAGCATACTTGTTTACAGTAGCACTAAACAAAGCTTCGGGTTTAGGTTTAGGGTTTAGGGTTTAGGGTTTAGGGGTTGCTCGATATGTACACGTGTGTGTTAGGGCCCTTCCCCTCTCTACTTAGAAGGTTCCTGCATGTCGGCCGTTTGTATCCACTCATGACCTGCCATTTGAGCAGACGCCCAGTTTGATGAGAGCAGTGCCAACAACAGCTTCTTTCTTCTGGTGGTGGAGGGCGAACTGTTCGTCAAGAAGGCCTTGCTGGCCACTCACGGCTTCAAAGTTTAGTGAGTTTAGTGCTTCAAGCCGTTCATGTCAGTTTCAACCTGTAGACAACCTGTAGACCATCGTTGATGGAGTCCAGTATTGCCAAGTGTCTGGTGTCATGGCCTCCAAACTCGGGGCAAGTTGATTTCCGACAAAAGACCAGGCAAGTCCCTCGGGCAAGCATTGGACAGGATTTTGAGGGTTTTAAGGATCTTTGGGGTTTCAAGGGTTTTGGGGGGCGCGGACGCGACCCCCTCCAGTAAGGAGTAGTGATCACGAGTCGAGTTCCCCACAAGGCCTACGCCAGCCGCAGCAAAGACTTGAGGTTTGTATCTGCCTCTTGCCAAGTAAAGTCAGAAAGTCCCTGCTTCTGATTTCATCGGGCGGCTCATGATAGCTTAAAGGCAACAGAATTAGCTGCCTCAGCATGTGAAATCCGATTCTTCCGATTACGCGCGCGTGCGCGCACCTCTATGTTTGCAACAACTTAGGCCTTTTCATCTTGGCAGGTGACGCCCACACTTCTATGTAGCCGAGGCCTCAGTACAAACGGGGGCTGGCGCGAGTACAGTGAGTACAGGTTAGTAGAAGCAAGTGTGGGATGTCATGGGGCTCCGCGGCCCCCCGCCCCACTCCATGCTATGGTACGCCCTTCCCCCATCCGCCCCCTGTGGTCTGGTTGTGGGTTGGTCTTAGGGGGCTTTAGTTTGGGGTTGTAGGGTTTTGGGGTCAAGGTTTCTCCCCCTCCCCCTCCTGTGGTGTAGCTGTGGGTTGGTTTTTGGAGCGTAAGGTTTGCCCCCCCCCCCCCCCCCCCGCCCTTTGGTGTTGTTGTGGGTTGGTTCTATAGGGTTTTGGTTTACTGTGTTTCAAGGGTTTAGGATCATGGTCTGGGTTCCCGCGGTGTGGTTGTTGGGGTGTTGTGCATGCGGGTTTTGGGCCAACGTGGAGGTTGGACTGCGGGTGACTCTAGCAACAAACCCACCCCCCTCACGCCTATGGGTTTAGGGTTCAGGGCTTGGGGTTTAGGGCTTGGGGTGTGGGGTGTGGGCGTGGGTGGGGGGATGTTTGGGCTGGGGTGGGTTGTTTCCCCCTCAGGTTGTCCTTTGAAACAAAGAAGAAGCCAAAAGCTTTGCTTATTTTGGAAGAATAGAGGTATGGTTGTTTATTTCGAACAGCTGAATTTACTTCTCTTCGCCTTACCATCAGCGCTTTGCCCCATCCACGCCACTCCTTTGGGGACCACAATCGCGCACATACTTGATCTTCCCCTAAGCCCGAAATACAGTTCTAAACCGGCCCTACACCCTAAACCCTCAACCTGAGGCCGAAACCCTACACCCTAAACCCCGAAACCCTAATTTCTTGCAAGCCGAGTGCCCAAGGTCGGGGCAACTCCTTAGGACATTTCAAAGTCTTCGGCATCGAGGAGACGAGGGATCTTCGGGCTGAGTTTCGGGGATCTGGGTTACAGGGCTACACACGCTCTAGAGCTACTATAAACGGGCCATAGGGGTTTAGGGCAGGTTGTCGTGTCAAAGGTTTATATATCTTCATATTTTATTAAATAGAAAAATAAATTAGTAGGTTTATAGGTGTATAGGGTCGGGCTTAGGGCTTATTAGGCTAAGGGGATGAAGGTGTTTTGTTCCTTTGTGCAAGAGCATGTGTGGTGGTACTTCGTGGTGCAGTTTTCCCGGCATGGCCCGGCTTGAAGTCGAGGGTTTAGGGTTTAGGGTTTCGGGTTTCGGGTTTCGGGCTTGACTCTTACTTTCCCGCAGGAGCCCGGGCATGTGCGAGTAGAGGCCGCCACCGCCGCGGAAGTTTTTGAAATCACGGCTGTGGCGATGGGAAGGCGCAAGTGCGAAGCTTGTGCTGGTAGTTTACAGGGTTCTTAGGGGAGGGTCCTTGAGGGCGGTGTTCAGGTTTTACGGTTTAGGGTTAGGGGGTTTCAAGGGATGTACCTAGGGAAGCTTAGGGAAGCTTGGGGAGCAGTGGGGAGGATGAGGGAAATTTGGGCTACACACCCCCTTGCATCCCCCCCCCCCCCCCACCCCGTAAGAATGTGTCGGCGGTCGTGGAAACATCTGTGCGGGTTCTGTCTGTGAGCGTGGGAGCAGTAGTGCTCCTGTGATATTGACATTGAGGTTACTGGTAGCAGTGCTACTTGTAGCGGGGGAAGAGGAAGTAGTTGAGTAGCCAAGGGGAATTCTTGCCAAAACAGCTTCAAGCATTTTGCGATTGCGGGCGCCCACAGCAACCACTAACTGACGTTGCCCAATTGCCCTACTTGCTTTTCCAGAAGAGCTTATTGATGTTGCCAATTTGCCTCACTTGCCCCACTCGGCTGCCCAAAAGAGCCCCACTCGCCCCCCCCTCCCCCCCTTCCCCTCACTCAGGTGGGGGAAGCGGAACTGGGGCAAGTGGCAGAAATCGCTTAGCGGTTAACACAGGGCAAGTGCGGGGGCAGTATCCGTCTCCGCTAAGGGACCAGAGCAAGTGGGGCAAGCGGGGCAAGTGGCAGAAAACAGCGACAGTTAGCGATGCAAGTTTGCAATCCCACTGGCATGTTGGCTTTCCTCGTTTGTTGGAACCAAAATCTCTCGATGTTTGTGTTGCACCTAATGGTTGGAGAAGCGAGGAAGAGAAGTAGTGCGGGAGCACGAGGACGAGTAGGGTATGGTCCTGTTGCGGGCTGCTCACTGTTGGACCATTGATACGTGTTTACAGCTGGAACCTCTGTAGCCCGCCCAAGGTCCTCAGCTTCAAACCGTAGCTGGGCCATTTGGTTATGCAAGTGTACACAGCCTGCTCCGCAGATGAGGCCTATAAGCCACGAGCCCTGCTTACTTCATGAACCCTGGGCCAAGAACCCTAAACCATTACAGTGCACGTTGTTGTAGATGTTCATCGATACCGGGAGGGTTTAGAGCTGAGCAGCCGTGACGAAGCCGAACAGAATGCTTGCCTGCTTGAGCGAATTACACCTTTAAACTTTAACCCTAAACTCCATGTAAGTCCTCAACTTTACGAGGTGCTTGGAATCATCGCCGGCAGATCGCAACAACTTCATGGAGACGCTGAAGCTCGCCCACATCCCACTGCAGGGATTTGGAGAATGGTGGTTGGGGTCCAGGGTTTTGGGTTTAAGGGTTGGGGTTCAGGGTTTAGGGTTTAGGGCATAGAGGGGACTGGAGCGTCTTGAGTGAGGTTGAGGGTTCTGCACAATGGGATCAGACTGCGACGGTACTTCCTTTTTTTTGGGGGTGCCGATGACTAGTAACCCTAAACCTTAAACCCCACCCTAAAACCCTAAACCCTAAAGCATCTGAAGTCAACAAAGGTTTTCGCGGACAAAATGGGACGTCCGGCCAAATAGTCTTTCACTTTTGGTTGGTATCACACCTTCGGAGCCCGAAACCTACTTCTTTGCAGATAAGCCCCTAAATTGCATTCCTGGGTATCACACGGTGGGAGGCCTTTTATTTTAGAGATCCGAACACACATGAAGGACTCTCAATGATCTGGAGATTTTGACCATCCTAGGGAGAGAGAGAGGCCCCACAATCGATTTGAAGGGTGTGTCTTCTATAAGCGAACCTCCCAGCAAACTTTTGCACATGAAGGGGCTTTCAGGGTCTGACTTGTTTGCAAAAAAGGGCCCATAATTTAGATCAACACCCATCTATCTATCAAGAAGAAGCCTGCTTCGCGAACCCGCACTCCTACCGCCCCACCCAGCCACCCCCCTTGTTGGTGGCACAGGGAGGTCCTTGGGGTCAGGTCCTCCAAGTATGGCCCCTGCTATATCAGGGGCCGTATTCTAACAGGTGCCCTGTACAAGATGTTACAAAGCGACCCTCAGTTGGCACCTGGCTAGGAACTAATTTAGAAAAATATATAATAAAAGAAAATTTGTATATATACAGATATAACCCAAGGGAATAGTAGTGACTTTTACTAAGGTTCTAAGGCACCTTCCCCCAGCATCCCCAGGAAAGGCCAGTACCTGGAGCAGCGGGCCGTGATTGAGAATTCTGATCAGCCGATGCTTGGTCTCATGTAGGGTTTAGGGTTTAGGGTTTAGGGTTTAGGGTTTAGGGTTTAGGGTTCAAGGTTTAGGGTTTCGGGTTTAGGGTGCAGGGTTTAGGGTGCAGGGTTTAGGGTTTAGGGTTCCCGTTATCATCATCCTATAGCAACCCCCCCCCCCCAGACAAGTTTTAAGACCCTATTCTAACGATTATGAGAATTACTCATGATATGTATTCCCTTTATCGTTATACTATACTAAGCCTTCCAAAACTTAAAACCCTATTCTAACTATTCAGGCCCCTACTTAGTAGCTGAGTGAGTACACTTTACACTTTTTGGGCTACTATAATCCCTTATAGAACTGAAAGTGTACACTTTTTGGGGGCTTATGAACTCAGCAACTAAGCCTATATCACGTCGGTTTCGGTGTCAGGGCGAAAGCAGTGGAGTTCTTCGGGGCTTGGTGGTGAGGCCGCCAGGGTGCCAATGACAAATCATTAAAGAAACCTTATACCCCAAACCCTAAACCCCAAACCCTAAACCCTAAACCCTAACCCTGCCTGCCGCTTTTGAGATTCCGGTACTGAGACTCTTCCAGCCTTTGCACATGGTTTTCGTGGGACTTTTCCGAAGCGCAAAAAAGGTCAGATGGCAAAGGGAACCCTAAAGCCTTAACCCTTTAAGGGTTTAGGGTTTAGGGTTTAGCTTTCCATCTGCTGCCAGCTCAGGATGTCCAGGTATCGGAACTTTGAACGCTTCTTCTTGCAGAGAGTGTTCCCATTCTTTCTTGCCAGCACCTTTGGCACTTTTGGGGTATTGGCTTTAGGGTTGACGGTTTCCTTAAAACCATCGGGTTGCTCATTTTGCAAGGGCCGGGGTCTGTGCTGCGTCCTTCAGTGTTGCAATGAACTTGCGTTTTCCGGCCGTGGGGGGATGTGCGCATTGCGTGAGTCAGACCCGATCGTCTCCGCTTTACTCGAAATGAACACTCTTGGCCAGGCAGCCTCAGGTGAGAGAACAAGAGAAGGTTCGAAGATGGTCGAAGATTTTCCCAGAGGGTAAACTGAAGTTGTAAAGCCGTTTTCGGGGGATCAAACCTCCCAGAGACCGCGTCGCCCAAGGCAAAGAAATTTGGATTCAGATTGCCTTCGCGGTGTCGCTCTGGGTGTCAGGGACGATCGTGCAAGAACTCCTTGGCGAAAGGCGCCTTTGTTCTGGCATCATGGGTTAACATCAAGGTTGTGTGATTTCTGGGGCTCTCAGAACTGCCATATAGGGCCTGCTCCGTATTGATTGTTGGGCTGGGTAGTACTAGGAGCCGGAGGCTTTCCAGAGTTTGGAAAAGTTCGGGATGGGTGGTGGGGTTTATATTGTTTGTCGCTGGGGAATCAGGGAGAATAAAAGTTTCAGGTGTTTAAAGGCATGTCAACATGATATGGCTTTGACCAGTGCTAGCTCTCCTGTGCTTTAGGACATATTCCATTGAGGCTCGCGTTCGCATGCATGGCTGTTAAAAGTGGAGCCCGAAACCTTAAACCCCTATTTCACAGATATGTGCATATGTTTTGACACACACACATATATATATATACACATATGTATATACATATATATACATATATGCGCACTCCCCCCTGGCCTACCAGGAGGCTGTTAAAATCGAATCAATACACCTGTTTCTTACATCTTGTTTCTTACTTACATAAAAATTACATTTATGTATTCGTCTTGTTTTGAATCGAGCAGTATAGATCTAGGCAGTTAGTGCGATCAAGTACAAATGCGAACTGTATATACAACGAAGTACCAAAGACCCAATGCACAAGATGAAATATTCATTGCATAGGAATGAAATACTACTCATTACACACTCATTACATACGGAGTTAAGGCGGCAAGTAACTAGTGAAGTCGTTGAATGTGAAACCAATATTAATTCAACACACTGTTGAATAGAATTGCTAAATAGCCGAAATATAGACACAAACATGTTTTCTCATACTTACATACCAATGAAGTGCCGGTATTGTGAACATATACTAAGGCAGCTCGTGAGCTCATGTCATGTCAGAATTACTTGGGTTCATGTGTAGTTTGTTGTCAAAAAGCGCATTTCTTTTGTTAATCTCAGAGTCGCCCACCGGGTAATGAAGTACAGCTCTGGGACACCTAAACCCTGAACCTAAACCCTGAACCCTAACCTTAAACCCTAAACCCTAAATCCCAAACCTCAACCGCCACTCAGAGGCCGACAAGCCAGCATTTAATTTTAGCTTTTTGTTGATGCTGTCAAGGCCCTATTAGGAGGATAGCTCTGGTTTGGGGATGCCTCAGGGTAGTTGCATGGTCCCTTAGTATGGGCCCTGAAAAAGGGGTACCCCTTATCGACCCCTTATAGACCCCTATACACATCGAGGGCCCATACATCAGAACCCTAGGACCACATTAAGGGGCCATGTAGCTTTCCCCCTTGCGCGCAGTTCTTAGTAGGGATTATAGCACCCCTTAGTATAATCCCTATTCAGGACTACTAGCATAAGGGGGAACATCCCAAAGGATAGCTCTGGTTTTGGATGTTTTGGGTTCACTTAGGCTAACAACAGAGAAGACTTTGTCCAAGCAGAGAATGCTCTGATCGGCAAATAGTGCCACTTCCAGATCACAATGTTGATCAGGTGCTTAGCACGAGCTCTGTTTGGTTTACAATCTTTCCGTGTTCATGATGGATTCATTGCATACTATTCAAATACCCATTACACACGAAACATCCTCCAATGCAATTTCAATGCATTTTCAAGGCTCTTGAATCTAGAGCAGATTTAACTACATCCGCATGTTAATGACGTACCAATGATGTACCATGCCTTGAAAAGCCAAATTCGCATCGAGAAGCCGAAAAAACATGGTTTTCTTGGAAACGCATAATTGCGACTAGTTTCTTCAAAATCGTGACGAATGTGTTCTGCACTCATGTCTGTAAACTGGAGACTTTTTTTCAACCGCCAGAAGAAGATATGACACCACCTCGGCCGAACACATGAACAAACGCTTATCATGTCTTCTGTATTGATTACGTATGCCTTGGGTTATAATACCAAAATGAGCCATGGAAGATCCGAAAAACTGGGTCCTAAGGGTTTTCGTCTTGAGCGCTGATTCTCTTTTGGCGCATCGGTTGTCCCTGTAGCTGCCCTTTGTTGTCTTCCAACATTCCGAGCCATCTCAATATTCACATTGGTCACTTTGATTAAGACAAATTATGGCTTCCTGCTATGTTAGTCAAGGAAAACATGTTGACATTGTTATTCTTTCTCCTTATTTGGGTGGTGGCCCTGTATAATCGTGAAGACGTATGGTTACATGAACTTAGTTTATATATTTGCCTCCCCCCAAATAATGATCCATCAACCGGGCTACATTATTTGAAGGATTACGAAAGTCCGAATATGCTGTTGAAATCTAGAACTCGACTAACACTCTATCTTTGAGACTTGAAACCCGTAAACTCCATGAAGCTATTAGACCAGTCTTCCCCCCCCCTCTCCCCCCCCCCCTCCCCCCCCCCCCCCCCTCCCCCCCCCCCCTCCCCTCCCCCCCCCCCCCCTCCCCCTCCTCCCCCCCCCCCCCCCCCCACCCCCCCCTGGGGGAAACCCCTTGAACCCTCAAACCGTTCAACCTCTCACCACTCAACCAGGCTCGAACCAATCGTTAGCCCTTATGGGAAAACCCGTTCCACTTTTGAACCGAAGCTCCAGTCGCTTCCCCCCTTTAGGCAACCCAGGTAAACCATTAAACCATTATACCGGTCGTCCCCTCCCCCTCCCCCCTATCGGAAAGTCAACAAAGCCATTCAACCAGTACAAATCTAAACCCTAAACCCTATGCTGCGAACAGGCCTGCTAAAGCTGGAACCATGGGCCCGTAGTATGGCCCCCATACCCTTGTTCATAGGGATCTGAAGTATGGGCATCACACACACATATGTATATATACATATATATCTCCCTTAACCCTAAACTATCAATCCCTAAAACCCTAAACCCCTAGAACCCTAAACCCTAAAACCCTAAATCCCTAAAACCCTAAACCCCTAGAACCCTAAACCCCAAATTAAACGGGTCCATACTTGGAACCCTAGAAGGCCTGGCAACTCCGGGTTGATGGTGGCACCTGTCACGACGTCGCTTGGCCTTGGGGGGGGGCCGTGGTTTAGGGTTTAGGGTTTAGGGTTTAGGGTTTAGGGTTTAGGGTTTAGGGTGTAGTGCTCAAAAGGGTTTGGGGTTTCGGGTTGAGGGTTTAGGGTTTCTTGCTCAAAAGGGTTTGGGGGTTGGGGGGTTTAGGGTCAGGGTTGGTGTAAGGTTTTACAGACTTTAAAGGCCCAGTAGGATTGTAGTTCAGGGTTTGGTGAGCAGAGGGGTTATAGGCTTGAAAGGGTTTTAGCTGGTCTGTTGTGGCGTCGCTGTACACAGCAGTGCTTGACCTCCATGGGGTCACATAGCAGAAGCTTCGCTCGCAACCTCGCCCGTGCTAGTGCGAGAGCCGAAGCGCAAACTGCATCTTCCAGAAGATAGCACACGACCTGTGGCCTAAACCCTCAACCCTAAACCCTAAGCCCTAGACCCTTAAGCCCGAAACCCCAAGCGGAGCAAAAATGTCAAGGATCATCTTCCTTCTTCTGAAGATGCTCCGACAGCAGCTGCCTTTGCAGTACATCCGAAGACCCTGGGCAAAACATGGTGTCCATGACTTCGGTCTCTCACTTAGGGTCCCCTTTCGGATCCTGTTCATTGTCATGGTACGGCACCTTGTAAAAAGAGCCCCCAAAAGGGACCCTAATTTAGAGTACTACCCATTTCTAGCATGATGGAGTCTGTTTTGGGGGAAGGATTGATCAGCTAGTTTGGGGGGAACAAGGTCTGCCATTCACGCCAGGCGCGTGGCAGCCAGGTCGCGTTAATTCTGTGAGAAACCTCACTAAGTTATGTTATACTTACAATGCTCTCCTAGAGCAATACGAGAACAGAATGCGCGAAGAATTCGCCTTCGGAGCACGAGGATTCTTCCAAGAGCAAGAGACGCAGCTGTACGTGAACATTCGTCTCCGGGGGACCTCCGGCTCCACGTGGATCACCGTGAAGCAGCTTGGGCAAAAGGATTCGAGCTTTTTTGTTTTTCTTCTGGCGCTTTTTCGAGTTTGGGTTTGGGTGTTTGGCTTACACTGTTAGGGTTTCGGGTCACAAAACAACGAGAGAACCTCCGCCCTGACAAAGACGGCTAGTTTTTTCGTTCAGGGACACTTCAGTACGCTTATAGCCCTACTCATGACCACATGAGTTCGGTGTGTGTGTGTGTGTGTGTTCGAATCCAATTTCTCGAGCAGGCTTTAGTTGCAGCATGCTCTCGCTTGAAATGAATTTAGGGTTGAGGGGGCAAGTTTGGAGGGGGGGAGGGGTGCTTGGACATATCCGTTTGATCCCTAAAGCATGTGCCCTCGGCTACCGGGTTACTCAAGGAAAACTAACAACCCCCGCACTGCGGTCGATGCTCAAGGGTGGAGTTGCGGATTGCGGATAACGAAGTCTACAAGTAGCGGCCTTCAGGATATGAACTCCTTGCTGCTATAGAGTAAGGGGTGCCGATACTTGCACCCGTCTTTGAGATCGTAGGATTTAGAGAGGCTCACGAGGCGTGCGTGGGACTGGAATCCCAAACTACAGCGAGCTCCGAGCTAAACTTTGGGGGGGGGGGGAGGGCAGGGTGGGGTCAAGGAGCAAAGTTCCTAGGCTTTTGGATGATTTGGATGACAAGCGTTTC